GAGCTAGTGGCTGCGATTTTTTTCGGAGGAGGTACAGGGTTTTGGAGTTTTTGTGAGGAGTCCTTCACTTTTTCAGCTGGTTCTCCGGTTGCCCAGATTTGTAACAGGTGGCAAGTGCATTAGCCGTCTGCATCCTCCACCGAAGGTCGAACAGGACGCGGTCGCTCGATCCTTCCCGTGAATCTCTCAACTCATCTCTGATTTGGCAGAGATGAGTTAGGAGATTGCCATAATGGTAAGCCACCACCGTCAACTGCCGCATGGTATTACCATCACGAATACGTGAGCCGCCAACGGCAACTGGTAGATGGCACAGCTATCGCGATTGCGCGTGCAATGCCTTAAAATACATTTTATTCTCCTTAAAAATAAGCAGCCAATATAAAACTCGGCGGTAGCACGCGGACGGTAGGCCGGTGCAGTAAGGGGACTGCGCATACTCGTGTCTCCCTCTATCCACCCTGGAGGCCGTGTGTCCGAGTGAGATGGCCTATTTGATGCTCTAACCGTCTCTTAGAGTAGAGACAGACTTATGCGTCCGGGCTTCGAGGTCCGACCGAATAACGCTTTGCCGCTGGCTTGACAGGCCCGGCTGGGCCGCCGACTATTGGCTCGAGGGGCCTGCCGTTCTCGCTTGCTCCTACGGGTCGCATAGGCCCCAGGCTTCCACTACCGCTCTCAAAACTCCGGACTCGGGCCTCCCACCCCCTGCTGTGAGGGTTTCAATGCCGGTATCCCGATAAGCGTATTACTGTCAATATTTTCACGCCGGCGAAGAAGATTCTCCTTCAGCCCCGGCCTACGGCCTCGTTCTTTCCGAAACGTCGTTCTCCCTTGCTCTCTCGGGGGTCTTATGTCCCCCAGCGGCGTTCTCTCTTGCTCTCTCACGGGTCGTATGTCTCCCGATGGCGTTCTCGCTCGGACTCGTTCAACCGCAGGCCTTATCGCCCCTTCCTTCCAGGGCTCGCAAGGTGGATTGTCATTTTGCGACGACCGCGATCAACTAATTGACAGAGGGAAAGGAAGATCGATTCCTTAGCGAAAACTGTCGTCCCGAATAAACTATGCCATCTACACGTGATTTTAACCTTTCGTCGTCCCTGTTTTATTAATACATGCAAATTTATAAACCATGTGGAAACTGAAAAATGATGAAATTTCAGAGTTCCGTGGTTTAAAATAAAACAAATTGACGGCATTGACATTAAAGCAAAATGATAGAAAGAGAAATTTTGCGAAGAAGGTAAACTAAAATAAGCACAGTAAATAGAGAAAACACGATTGGAAATAAAATTGTATATTTTCGAAGGAATTGACATTCGTGCATTATGATATTATATGCAAACAAGTTGTAGCGTATTTCGCGACGGTCGAACAGCCCCGCTACAGCCCAAAGTAAATTTAAATGGCCAATATTTCGTTATATGAATTTTCTGACAAACGTGACACGTGGAGGGAAAAGGGAAGGAGAANAGGGAAAAGGGAAGGAGAAAACCAAAAATAAGTTTCCCGTCGCCGGGGCCGGCTCGGCTTGGCCGCCGGCTCGGGGCTCGAGAGTCCCAGACGTGGCGTTCTCTCTTACTCCTACGAGTCGCATAGGCGCCGGGCTTTCTCTACCACTGTTAAAACTCCTGTCTTGGGCCTTCTACTCCCTGTTGTGAGGGTCTCGGTATCGGCTCCCGATAATTGGATTAGCATCGATGTCTACACGCCGGCGAGGAAGACCCTCTCTTTACCCCGGACTGCGATCTAGTCCGTCTCATCCGGAGCGGCGTTCTCCATTGCTCTCTCGCGGATCTTATGCCTCCCGACGGCGTTCTCGTTTGCCGTCGTTCACCCTCGGGCCTTATCGCCCCTTCCTTCCGTGGCTCGCAAGGCGGATTGTCATTTTGCAGCGACCGCGATCAAGTAATTAACAGAGGGAATGGAGGATCAATTCCCCCACGAGAAATGTCGTCTCGAATTAACCGTGCCATCTAGTCGTAATGTTAACCCTCCGTTGTCCATGCCTTTTTCGGACCCGTAATTTTATTACTTGTATTTGTATTTAAAATGCAAGTAAACAATTTAATCTTATCTGTTTTTGCCAATGTGGCTATTTCGAGTTCCGCGTGATGTTTAACTTTTTCGAGAGTTGATTCAGTTGATAGAGCAAGTATCATTCTGATCGACTCTTTTGTAATATTCTCATTTCTCTGGAAGTATTTAATTTCAAACGCAAATAGATTCAAAATCTATTTAAAATTCTAAATCCATAATAGTTTATTGTTCTTATTTCAAATACGAAATGGAAATTGGGTTTTACGTTTTGGATACCTATTTCGAATGAAATCAATTCATAAGAGTTACTCCGATTTGCGTTTATAATAAACTCGGATAAGAAAAGTCTTTCTTATGTTTACGGGTGCTCATTTACATGCTCATTTAATGATTCACAGGTGTTCATTTATTCAAGGAATACGAAGAATGGTATAGAACGTAAATATATAAGAGGCATGAAATCACGATTTCGTTTCTATGTCCGATAGTTGATGCATCGTAAATTTTCCGACGGTATTTCACTGTATATATATTTAGAAACTATTTCTTTTAAGCTAAGATAATATTCTAACTTCGGTTCAGTGAATGGAACAATTTAATCACTAAGAAACTTGTTAACATTTAATAGAACATGTTCCATTATATTCTTTATGAAATTCTGTAAATTATTATTTAACAAAAACTACGTTATGTGAGTCAGGGACGCTCCACAGTAATACTAAAATAATTTTCATTAATTGTTTTTGTTTATAAATATTTATTTTCTTTAGGAAATCCATTCTGCCCCTCGAGCGATTCGAATTCCGCGCTTCTCCCGCCACTGGTACCCTTCGCGGCCGGAGAGGGCAGTGCGGACCAGGTGCAAACCATCGATGGAGTCCAGTGTACATTGAATGTCTATAACGTATGTTAATGGTAAATAAGGTTTAGGATCTAACTGTGGACATAATCTTGCTTGCAAGGTGATTAAATCTAAAATTAACATCATAAAAACTAAATAATGCCACTGCACCGGTATACACATGCAGTTCTTTGTAGAATTCCTCTTTCATTGAAAACAAGAGGTGAGGTGACATTAGATGAAGCTAGAAAACAACATTTTGCCTTAGCACAACTTTTACGCGAATTAGGAATCGATGTGGTTGAAATGCCATCAGATGAAACCTCTCCACTGTGTGTATTTGTCGAAGATATTGCAGTGGTTTGTAATGGCATTGCACTCATCGCTCGACCAAGTGAGCCTTCTCGGTACAAAGAGGTAAATGATTTTATCTGGTTTCATTATTTTAAGTATTAATTTCTAATACACTGAATGATATTGAGTGAAGTGACAGTATTCTTGATAACAAGAGTACAGAGTATACTAAGGTGTCAAAAATACATTTTGGGAATTGTGATATTAAATTTTATGTTCTATGCCATGCTATTACTCTGTAAACATTACATGTAAGATGTAAGTACAAATTTATTAATATGATTCCAGCAATGATATGAGTAACATGTCATATAAGATGTTATGCATACACTGATGTATGCATAGCAATGCATGCATACGCTGTATGTATCTATTCAGTATGAACTCACGTTAAAAAGTTAATAGCAGAAATGTATCATGTTAACAAAGTTTTTACAAAGTATTTTGTCATTTGATTATTAGCTCATAAGTATTAATCTTTAGTTGAATTTTGAAAATGTTATGAATTTAATGGTGTTTATTTGTTTCTGGTACATAATTTTATATAAGGATAAATATTTGAAAATTATGTTCGATATAAATTTCCAATTACGTAATTCATATCCTCTTATTACAATCGGATTTCAAAATGCATACATCTATTTAAGGGATGTTTACTTATGTGAAGTATAGTATGCTAATAACACTTGTATAAAATCTTTCTGGATACAAGCTAATAGATTATACACAATATTGTTTCTAAATTCAAACAGAATTGAAATCATATCACAAAGCCAAGCACATAAGTCACTAGATATCTGTTTCCCATATGATCTGGCATAACCATGCCATTTTCATTTTTTCATTTATAAATTTTGGTATCACTACCACTTTTCATATTACTGCTATATTTTTAAATTTAAGGTTCTGGTAACCAAGTAGTTAGCCAATCATTTTTAATTAACATCAAAGATGAGGAAGTGGATGAAATTTTAAACTGATACTGTTTAAAACGAATGATATTTCCAGAAGAAACTAGGGCAAGTTGGGTTTAGGGGACCCACCTCTGATCATTGACTGATTGACGGATTGACATATATTGCCAAGGTCATTCTCATGCACTCCATAAGGTTTTAGTCATCGGTTGTTGATTGTGAAAAAGATATTAACAACATTATTTTTATGATTTGATCTTACATTTTCAAGACTCGGTTAACATTTCAAAACTCAAAGTGTGCTATGCACATGTTGTGTTCATACACTTACTGCTTTGTTTTCACTTTCTCTGCTGAGATTCTGTCATCACTCGTGTCAATCCGTTGTGACGAATTAGTTATTCATGTGATTCAAGGCAAACAGTTTCGCAACATTTAAAAATGTGGGTATTGCTGCAGTTAACCATTGATCAGCTGCCTTGCAGCGGTCAGATTCTACCTGTTATCCTAACCTAATTGAAATCAAACCAAATTAAATTGTTCTATAGCAGTTGAGAGTATTAACGTATGTTTAACTTTATTTATCGGACTTCTAATGTTTAGAGTGATTTAATTTTGTGTTAATTTGGGTTTGATTAGATCAATAGTTCAAATCCAGCAGCCCCGAGGGTGTTGCCCAGTAATTACTGCTGCAGTCCACCAATTTTTAAATGTATAGGTTCTTCCTCATATTTAACTTTTAGCGTTAAAAGACGGATTTTAAAGCACAGTTAAAAGCAAACCTACTCATGTGTCGCTTTTAAACCACTTGTACAGAAAATCCTTAAAAGAAGCTATAAAAGATGTATTTTAGCAGCAATAACTACTCATACCTCTTTTAAGCTTCTTTTTGAGCTCTTTTTAGATAAAAGTGCGCGACGATTCGCTAAAAGTGGATATGGGGACTTTTAAATTGCTTTTACCTGTTAAAATGATACAAAATTTGGACAGCTTTTAGTTGTCCAAATCGTATATGAAAAATGGAATACATTAAGGATATCTTTCACAAAGCAAAAGCTTGCAATGTGGATACATTGCATCAAATAATTACCAGAGATGTTTGAAATTGAATGTATATCGTTCTTGGCTAATCAAGAAATTTGGCTTTAGTTACAGCTTTATTCTTTCAAACTCGCTTTCCATTTTTGTTGTAATATTCAGCAGTCTTTCAGCTTTTGACATACGAAGAACGCACATGCTGGGCTCAAAAGAGGATTAGACAGAGTGGAATGTCCTATAAGAGCGCAATCATCGACATTCAGGGGGTCTATTACATAAAGGAAATTGAACGAAAATGTGAAAAATTAGTAGCTCACGGTATTACGGAACGTTTTTGTTGGTGAAAATGCAAGACCATCCGTATGTATGAACTGGCTCGGCATACATTTTTAAGCGAAATGGTGAAGCATACAAGAAAAGATAGAAAAATGAGCGCCGTGAACGCCATCTTCCACGGATTGTGTCACCGAAATTCAAAATCGAAAACGTCCTGGGTGTTTTGATTTTTGGCAACAATAGTATTTAGGGATGTAATAATAACCTTATTAGAAGTAGAAGGGAATTACGTGTGCCTCAGACCAATTTTCGTTAGAAGAAAGAGAATTACTAGGATGTACAGGTTAGGTTTTGTTATTGCGAGGTTACATTACATTATTAAACATTGAACACTGTTAAATAATTCATGTTTACATGACATGATAAGAAAATTATATCGTTGAACTGCTAATTACAGTACATGTAAATATGAATGTACTACATGTTTAAAAAATATAGATAGACTCGAGTCCTCTTATTTGCTTTTAACGGCTTTCCATTTTCCTGCCTTTTCTGCTTATAACTCGTTACCTCTCAACAATTTTCGATTTACAAGGTATGTACCTTTATTTCAAATATTACTAGACCGGAAGTGCTAGTGATCTCGTTCTTTCATGTAGCGAATACGTAATTCGGCGAATATACCCACGTGAGATGAAAGTGCGCGAAGTGAGCGCTCTCGTAAAAAATCCATAATAAACGCCCAGATATGGACCGCTGACTCTATGGCGAAAAATCGTAGTCGGTAAAAGAGAGAGAAAAATGATGTGCGCGTCTGTCTCTTTCTAACCAAAGCTGTGTTACGTGGCGGCCGAGTGACTAGCGAGGCCAGGGGAATTGCGCAGATTTCTCCGAGCGGTATACTGTTTATAAACAAATTAACTCGTACGCACGCGTAACCAGTTTATGATTTGACAAATATGGAGCGGCTAGGTAAACCTCTTTAGTGGGATCGATAGGTTTTTGGTCCTCAGAGGGTAGTTGGAAAGTTGCAATGAGGACACAGGAGGGTTTTAAGGTTTCGTGAGAATCAAGTCGTCGTTTTATATTGAATGAAACAGTTCTATTTATGATGCAAGGGGTACAATGTCCATGGGGGTAAGGTGTGCAAAAGATATTGTGCTAAGCGCGTTGCGAGACGAGACAAGGACGTTGGAGGTCGCGCGCTAGCGGCTTGCGGAAGTGTAACGATATATGTCCGTGTATCAGTTGCGGAATGCTGACGCGAGATTCTTTGCTTGCAAGGTGCGCTTTGCTTTACTCAGCAAGGGCAGCTAATGAGTGGCGATTTATATTGTGAGAAGTTAGATTTTGGTAGCCGTTACCGGAAGATGAATACCGAATTCTCTTACGAGTTAGTAATTTGGAAGAGGGTTCAAAATAGTGTGATGAAAGAGTGAAAGAGTGGAGCTCTTTGAAAAGAATCTGTATCTTGGTTCGCAGAGGCCTATACTTCCGGTAACGTCTCTCCTACGTCCTGCTGGTTGCGATGAACTGCACACGAACGCCTTCAAACCGGGGCGTGCCCTAGGGTTGGAGCTTTCTAAGATTCTCCCGCTGGTCCGGAATTAGCAGCGTTGTTCTTCTCACTGTTGGCTCGTGGATTTCGGAGTACCGAAACGCACAACTGTTACTACAGTACGATCAGCTCTTCAGAGAGCCCCAGCCACATAGAGTGTGGACTGACTGATCGTCTCAGACTAGCTCCTCGGACTGAATCTTTGAGACTAAACGACGTACTCTTTTTCGGTGCCGTTTTTATACGAGATCTTATCCTTGAAATGCCTATGAGGACAGGGTCCAATTTCCTTGTTTTTGGATTTTGTTGTTAGGGGCTTGATTGGACGCGCTCAGCAAGTCACTATGTTGACGGAGGAGTAAGCCTCGTGTTTTGGTCCAGAGTGCAATTCGGTGCGGAAGGCGTGCGAATAAGCCAAAACATTCCTCGGTGATTTCTCCACTAGTTGTTATTTTTCCGGTTTAATCAGATGATACTGTCGTTGCTTTGGATTCGATATTTATCTTCCAGTAACTGACTCATACTTAATGTAATGCGCGCCTCTCTATTTTGAGGGAAATCGGGTAGCCTTGTAACAGCTGATTGGTGACATTTAGATATTCGTGACCAATCAGCTTTGCTAGAAAGAGACAGACTGCCCCACGCACATCGTGTTTCTTTCTTTTTTACAGACCACGCTTTTCGCCATAGAGTCAGCGGTCCATATCTAAATGTCGATGAGCGCCACGTATTTTCGCTTATACGGTCTTTAGCGCTCCGTCGTGAGCGGGACGAAGTACTAAATACTTCGTCCCGCTCACGTCACACCACTACTTCGTAGAATCTCATCCACCGGGAAATTTGAATAGATGAAAATGAACGTCAAATAAAATATACATCAAAATACATATAATTAAATGTTTATTTCATCACTTTTTTACGTGTTAATAATATTTGAATCAATTTTTAATGTTTTAACAATAAGAATGGAAGGCCTTAAAACATTAAACTATGTAACATATTAAGGCTTTTTTAAACTAATCTGTATATATGTACTTATATCTATGTTATGTATACCTATATATACAAATCTGATACAAATATATGTATATGAAGGAAGACTTGTGTTTCTGGACACAGTTCTAATTGCTGACAATTATCATTAATAATAACCTCGATAATTTTTTTAATGAGTTTTGAATGATGAATAGCCTCAATGGCGATATTAAATTGGGCTTCCCAGGATTTAAGTAAATGAAAAACATTGTCAGAAATGTTAATTACTTGCTGGGCTCCTGAATAGTTTTTCGTTAGTGCAAATAATTTGTAGTCTCTGTACGAACAATTATTGCTACTGCCTCGAATTAAAATGTTTGTGCAGATCTGACATTTGTGATGCTCCCAAAATTTTTTGCATGTGTATCCGGATATGTAATATATCACATTATTTGCGGAGAATTGCTGAAAACCTGTTTGGGTTTCATAAAAAGTCATATGTTCTGCTGCTTTGAACATTGGTTATTTTACGCGAGAACAGTCATCTCTTTTAAAAATTGCTATTTTCAATTTTCTGACATGGAAACATTCCCAAGTGTCCGCCGCTGATCTTATTGATTTTCATATATGTTTAAGAACACAAAAATCTAAGAGACACGTGTTTTTTTTTATCTCCAATGGTCCACATTTATGGGATGACACCACCCCAAAATTTGGCGAAAATTCGAGTTATATTAATTTTTGTAGAAACAGTGGAGGGATTTCGACGAAACTTGACATAAATGTATTCTGTATAAGGACGGTTAAAACACAATCCGCTAATGCTACACCACCTCAAGGGTGTGAACTACCCTTCGGGCGAAATTTGTTGTCATATCTATTAAACAAGTATTCCTACTTAAGTTCCACTTACGCCATGTGATTGCTCACGAAAAATGAGGAAATACCTGTCTTTTGCTTTTTGCCAATAAACATTTATACATCGGTTGAAAGGAATAGATGTAAGTGGTATATGGGTATATCCCGACTACCTTTATTGGGTTATATCGTCATCGAATCTCTTGCGAAACAATTTCACTTTCTTAAACTGTTTTTTAATTTATTTATAAATAATTGGATGTTATGAAAACCAGCGAAATTTTGAGGAATTAGCACGTTTGCACGGTTTATATACAATGAATTGGTCACGATATAACCCAATAAAGATAGTCGGGATATACCCGTATATCACCTACATCCATTCTTTTCAACCGATGTATAAATATTTATTGGCAAACAGCAAAAAGCACGTATTTCCTTATTTTTTGTGAACAATCACATGACCTAAGTGGAACTTAAGTAGGAGTGCTTGTTTAATAGATATTACAAACAAATTTCGTCTGAAGGGTAGTTCACCTCCTTGAGGTGGTGTATCATTAGTGGATTGTGTTTCACCGTTCTTATGCAGAATACGTTTATGCCAAGTTGTGTCGAAATGTCTCTACTGCTTCTACGAAAATTATTATAAAAATCAGATTTTCGGCAAATTTTGGAAGGCTGTTCCATTCCTTAAATTTGGACCATTGCAGATAAAAACAAAAAAACACGTGCCTCTTAGATGTTGGTGTTCTTCAATATACACCTATCCCCCTATATACACTGAAGATAGGTTCCTTAGGAAACCGTGTAAATCGAAAACAAGCTAAAATGTGCATAATTCAGTCATTTATTTCAATGTAAAATAAAACTAAATATATCTTAAAATACATAAAAATAACGGTCTGTTCATAAAATGATAAAAATATAAAGGTATTGTAATGGTATGCAGTTTGATCCGTGCCTATGCACAGAAAAACGGCATCCTTTGAGGGTTCGAGCCTCACGATCCTGAGACCGAAATTCATTTAAATTCTAATATGTAAAATAGAAAGAGACTGGCGAGAGAGCGAGGAGAGCGTTCACGAACGATCAGCTGAGCGCGTAAATATTATGGCGAGTCGGAAGGCCTGTCGACCGAATCTGGATTTGGCGAGTTTTTCTAACGTTGGGGCCTTTGCTTCCGCACCGTTTCGCACGAATTGGTGGTTTAAATTTCTAGGAAAATTATTCACCGTTCCGGATTGCTTTAAATTAAATGAGGTGCAATCCCAATTCTATTATATCTTCCCAGTACACGTGTTTCCGGTTTTTCTGTTGACGGATGTAGGGAAAGGAAGGATGGAGTCTGATTCTCAGTATGAACGGCTTATCCCGTTATCGGTGC